ATATATTTTTATGAAGAGTTTTTATTTATTTTAGTAAGATTATTATTATTTTTGAAGAGGTGAAAGCTTTCTAATACGGTTTCAAACAATTAATATTCTGATAATATTCTCAGTTTGCAAAGCTGGCGTTATGACTTTGTTACCGACCCGAGGCCGCTAGTTGCTGTGAAGGTGGAAAATGGCGTCTATCTTTGAAATCTATTTTAATGGAGAGCGTCCTTTATCTTCATAGATCAATATCCTCCCGGCAAAATCTCCATCTATAAGATAACACATGTCTACAAAAAAAACTTTTTTTTTGCACAAGAGAACCTGATGGTGTTTCTAGTGTAACTTTTCATGCTGAACTCAAAAATCTAATCAGAAATTTCCCATCACCCATGGTTTTTGCCTGACGATCTTTTTTTAGTATTGGGATAAATACATGCATCCAACATGAAAGAGACTTACGAAAACATGAAACTGCTTTTGAAAAAGATAGAATATGAAAGATACGGTTGGAAAATATGCAGCGATTTGAAAGTCGTTGCTCTCTTGCGTGGATTACAGCTTGGATATACAAAATTTTGTTGTTTTCTGTGTGAGTGGGATAGCAGAGATAGGGAAAGGCATTACATTAAAAAAATCTGGCCAAACCGTAAAATCTTTACTCCAGGATATAAAAATATTGCAAATCCACCCCTGATCGATTCAGAAAATATTTACTTACCACCATTACATATTAAACTGGGATTAATGAAGAACTTTGTCAAGGCAATGGATCGAAATGCCAGTGGATTTGCCTACCTAAAACAAATATTTTCTAGTATAAGTGAAGCGAAGATTAAAGAAGGCATTTTCGTTGGACCTCAGATTAGAGAATTGCAGCAGGATGGAAATTTTCAAAATAGTTTGAATGAATTTGAAGCAGCAGAATGGAATTCCTTTTGAAACGTTTGCAAAAACTTCTTAGGAAGTGTCAAGGTTGAAAATTACCGAGACATAGTTAATGATCTATTGCTTTCCTACAAGGCACTGGGATGTAACATGTCCCTCAAGATCCATTTCCTGCATTCACATCTAGATTTCTTTCCAGACAATCTTGGCGCAGTTAGCGATGAGCATGGTGAGAGGTTTCATCAAGCTATATCAAGCATGGAGAAGCGGTACCAAGATAAATGGAGTCCCGCTATGCTTGCCGACGACTGCTGGGCACTCAAGAGGGATCTACCACAAGCAAAGTATAGAAGAAAATCCACTGTCACTGCTTTTCAATAATAAATATGTTTCGTTCATATATGCCTATATATTAACAATATTTCCAAATTCAAGTAGGTGTATCTCAGAAATATTGTGTAATAGAAAAAAACTAATGGTATATTTGGATTCAGGACATGTAGATAAGATGCTATTTCTTTGTGGACAAAGAAAAATATTTTTTGATAAACCAGTTACGTGACATTGTTTGCAATTTTTAGTGTATTTATCCCAATACTAAAAAAAAGACCGTCACGCAAAAACCATAGGTGATGGGAAATTTCTGATTAGATTTTTGAGTTCAGCATGAAAAGTTACACTAGAAACATAATCAGGTTCTCTTGTGCAAAAATCTTGTTGACCAGTGTAATTAGAATTAATATATGACTTATTTCAATTTAATATTCAAAGGAATACATACTTTCGCCTATTTCCACCGTGAATCACCTACCCTGGCTCTGTTGCTTCACCTCTGCAGCCTTACCCCTCAGACAGCTCAAAGACCCTCTGAGAACCACTACTCAAGTGGATCTCCTTTCCCTCTGGCAGTATCTCTCGACTGGTGGGCGGACACGAGAGACTTACCAGAAGAGTAGCGACTGTGGTGTTGGAGAGAGAGTCAGAACAGCAACCAGCAACAAGTCTGCTAACACTCCTATTTTATTGTAATCTTTAATCCACATCACACAAGACTCGATTATCCATTAACAAGTATTTACAGTTATATACATCCTAGAGCCAATATAAACAGGTATTTACAATTAATAACCCCAGTAAACAGGACCACAGCAATAGGCGATTCCCACACTAGACCCAGACTAGAAATAGGATAAAGTGCCATCTATTGAAGGAGGTTGTAGGTACTTTTTCAGGCCAATATTCGCGACAATACTCTACACAGCCAGAGTTACTTATGGACTACACCTTAGAATCAAAAATATTATAAATCTATAACAATATTTCACTAGCTACCAAATCTACAAATAATTTGGAAGCAAAAGACCACCGAAAAATATAGGGTCTTTTTAAGGTAAAACTCGGTAATATTATCTGTGTTGGAAGATTGATTATGAAAACAATCCGCCATGTGCTTTATCAGCAAAATGTAGGAACAATGCATTATAAATTCTAGAGAACAGCACAGTCAAAAGGTGCAACACAGAAGAGCGACCCAGCGGAAAGATTGATGTTATTTTCCACTTTCTTTAGATACATTGCTTCTGTTAAACCCAACAAGAAAATTCCTGTATGGAACGAAGTGTCCCTAATAAAGGCTTTGTTGAAGTTGTAACTCGGTATTATTTCAATCATATATTATTCTTCTGTTTTTTTCTTTGTACAAAAGTAATTTTTAGCATCAGTTTTCATAAAATTTAGCATTTTGTTTTAGGTTCGTTGCTACTTTGACACCGAAATCTTGCTGATTGAATATAAATAAAGTATTCGCTTTATAATCCGCTATAATGATCAACAGATTCTCCAACTCAAGAGAGAGATAAAAAAACATGTGTGAAATTTGAAAACTATTATCGTTTATAGAGGAATAGGGTTGTTCACAGCGCCTCCATGCACACATAGAAAACCTAGAAAACATCATAACCATGTTTTAAACAGCCATTTTCTTCAAGCACATATTAAAAACAGAAGCGAAAAGATTAGCCTTCAGTTTATTTTTTACGTATAAAGCCATAAATAAAATAGATCATATCTCAGGTGTAGACATCTATTTAAATCCACATGACGATAATATATTCGAATTTTACTAATCCATAAATACACACACATGTGTAAATTCGATGAAAAACATGAATTATTTATTCATAAACAATAATATACATACTTGTTAAAAATTCCTAGAAAAATATATATCCTGTGTGATATATATGACTTCAAAAAGCACACAATTAAGGCAAAAATAGTAAGCTATACTATTACACTTATATCCCTTATATATCCTCACATTTGTTTATAAAAATCAGTTATAATCCAGAAATTCATCCATGTGAAGCTAAAGAAGCTAAAAGAATAAACTACACTGATACACATCAATCTCTGAAATCCATACTTGTGAATCTAAAAATCCGATATTTTACAGAAATCCACACATCTGAATCTGAAAAAGCAGTTATATTCCAGAAAACCATCCATTTGAAGCTAAAGAAGCTAAAAGAATAAACAACACTATTACACTTCTATAAATGAATTCCACACATGTGAATCTAAAATTCAGCTCTAGAAATCCACACATGTGAAGCTAAAAATCAGTTATATTCCAGAAATTCATCCATATGACGCTATTGAAACTAAAAGAATAAACTACACTGATACACTTCAATCCCTGAAATCCATACAATTGAATTTAAAAATCCGATATTTTCCAGATATCCACACATGTGAATCTAAAAAATCAGGTATATTCCTGAAACCCATCCATGTCGGGCTAAAGAAGCTAAAAGAATAAACTACACTGATACACTTCTATCAATGAAATCTACACATTTGAATCTAAAATTCATTCCAGAAATCCACATATGTGAATATGAAAAATTTACTATATTCTATAAATCCATCCATGTGAAGCTTAAAAAGCTAAAAGAATAAACTACAGTATTTACACTTCTATCAATGAAATTCACACATGTGAATCTAAAAATCATATCTAGAAATCCACACATGTGAATCTAAAATTCAGCTCCAGAAATCCACACATGTGAAGCTAAAATTCATCTATATTCCAGAAATCACACATTGTGAATCAAAAATCATTCCAGAAATCCACACATGTGAAGCTAGAGCCTGTTTTTTTTCCCGCCATTCTTCCTCGAGTTAATTACGCCGCAGGAACTGAAGATATTTAATTCAGACGAAACCTCAATTAATGGGCAGATCCATTTTAATAATTTGACAACACAGCTGTTGGCACTTCGTTAGCTACCAAGTCATTAATTAATTTTTAAATTAAATTATTTGGAACATTTTTAAGGTTTGTCCCCATTTGTTTAACCCTATTTCACCCGCCGCTGCCTTGCGAAAACGGCTTTTTAAATAAAAAAAGATCAACTACTCTAAATTAGTGAATGATCCTTTAGTCATTAATTATAAAATCTTTATTGCCTATTGTTTGATAATTTTCATTAAACCTTTTTTTATTATTTTAAGCCGTTCTTTTTCGAATTATTTGATATTAAATTGACAACAGAACGTAATAGATGTCAAAATGAATTAAATATTTTATTGTTATTTTTATTATTTTATAATTAATATTATTATAATTATTTTATATATATATTTTTTCATTTATATTTACAAATGTGTTACACATAAAAATAAATATAAAGAAGATATTAGAATTATTGCAACGATATGTTATCTTCTGATAATAAATATTAGCTAACGTATTGTCATCTATTAGAATTAAATCCACTCAATGGTGATTTATTTGATCAAACTTAGACTAAACTAATTCTATTCACGGCCTAAAATTATTGCATATATATATGTATAGACAAGTGTAAAGGCATACATATATGACAGCGCAAGTGTCCCTATGGGGGAATAGCGCTTTAAATTAAAAAAAAAAAAAAAAAAAAAAACTTTGACTAAACAATGAGGAAAAAAAAAAGAATCGTACAATTAAGAGAGAGAGAGAATACTGCTTTTACAGTCTATTAAATCAAAGTGCATGATATTCGAGCCCAAAAATGAACGTAGCAAGCAGACAAACCGCAATGCACTATAGCACAGTACCAAGGTGCTAAAAATATTTCTCACACCGGGAATCGAATCCGGGCCTTTTGAATGAAACCCAAATATCCTAGCCACTAGACAACGTAAGAGAAACAATTAAGCCATGCTAGATCTAGAAGAGATTATTCCTATAAAGTCCCTACTTTAACCATTATTTCACTCATTCAGCTTAAATTTTTAAATATATTTATTAACCAACAAGGCGCAATATTGAAGTATTTACGCCTAAACAGATATTTAGGAATATTTGGCCTTAAATAGTCATTTCTTAATTTCTCAGGAAGCCTCTAGGATCAGATTTTGGTCGTAGAGGTACAACTTTCAACACGCTGACGAAGCCCAACAGCTCGAAACGCGAAAGTAGTTGACTTTTTTTGATTTATCAAGAAAATGTGATGACAAAATATAAAACGAAAATTAAAATAGTAAAATTGTATTTTACAAAATACAGGGTGATCCAAAAGTCCCGCACAACTTTAAAAATTAATAACTCCGCGAATATTTGCGCTAGAGCAATGCGGTAAACACCATTGTGTTCAGGATGCAATGGGATTTTTTATGGCAAATAATGAAAAATTCGAAATTGATTTTAGTTACAACTTTATTCGCTAGATGGCGCTCTACCAGAATCAGAGATTCAGCGGCCAAATTGTTTGATAAATTAAAAAATATAACTGAACAACATGTATTTTTCCTTTTTATATACCAGGAAAGAACCCTAATAATATCAAATGATAAATTAATAAAACACCATTTCGCCAAAAGTTAGAAGAATTGGTTGACGATTTTTAAATACAATCTAAGATATGTAAAATATGTATATGCAAATTAGAACATGTAGCAAAAAATATTTATATTTTAGATGGAGTTTTGTGAAATAAATTGAATGTTTGAAAATAACTACTGATATCAATACACGATTTTTGAGTTGTTAATATAGTACCAAAAATTAAGATGGCACTACTAATAGGATTTCGTGCTATAAGGAATGTATAGTTTCTTGACTAATTGTCGACACTTGACTATTTAACTGGATATTTATCATGATCCAAAAATGAAATATAGAGGGGAGTGACAAAATATATTTTTCGTACTTTATTCCAAATATCCTATGGGTTTGTCAAATGTTATCATTGTTTATTATACTGTACATAATTTTGAAAATGTATCCCCTCAAAAAAAAAATCATTTTTAAATCGACCTTTTGCGTTGAAAAAAGTGGTAGTAAAATCATTTTGTATTATATTTTGCGCAGAATATCTAAAGTTGGGGGGGGGGGGGTGGATACAGAGATTATTCCTTATGCTATTTCTTCTAATGAGCGAAAAGCGATAAACTAAACATAAGGGGTAAAATTGTGTGTACCAGTGTTATTCGAGAAGTTATAACACTTTGGTCTGCACGACATAATATAAAATGTGGGCAAATGACAAACAAAAAAATTACTGTTTACAGAAATAAAAAAGAGTCAAGATGTGAGGACAGCATTTATTATACCTATAACCCAAAACAAAGAGCTGCAAAATATAACACATGAGGTAACTGCCTTTTCTCTTGTATTAGGTCTCAATCCTTGCTCAAGGTGGCGCCCTTCATTCTCAAACACCGCCTGCAGACGATAGATGACAGAATGGTCACAATTGAATAGTTGAAATTTATAAAACGTGCCATCTGATAGAAGCCTTCAACATGGCCAATGTGGTAGGCCGTCATCGATAAAAACGCGACTTAATGTACCCCCATAACCGAAATTGTAAGGCGTCAAGTCTGGTGATATTGGAGGCCACTGGTATATAAAGTGGCGACTTATCAACGAATTCCACCGAACGTATCCTTCAGCAATTGTTTGGCACCGCGGGAGATATGAGGAGGTCCTCCATCTTGCATGAATGTTATTTCGCTTAGTGCTTGTCTGTCCTGCAATATGAGAATAACCTTTTCTCTCAAAAGTTGAACATAACGTTCACCAGTTACAAAAACGGTTTTAAAAGTTCTTCCATTGATTTTTTCAAATAAAATTGGCCCAATAATAAAAGAAGAAGTGAACCCACATAAAACTGTAACTCTGTGCTGATGAAGTGGTATTTCTGTAAAAATCCTAGGGTTTTCTGTTGCCAAAATGAGGCAGTTTTGAATGTTAAATTCTCCCTTTAGATAAAAGTGAGCATCATCTGTTCTTAGAACATTTGACAGCCAGTTTTCATCAATATCAATTTGCCGGAAAACCCATGCAGCGAATTCTTGACGCTTCTCAAAATCGCTGACTTTCAACTCGTGAAAACTTTGAATTTTGTTAGGATATTTTTATAGAAAAAATTCTAAATGTGTGTTCTCTCCAAACTGTTCCATACGAAATCCCCGTTTGTCGAGAAACTTGTCTAGCACTTACTTCTCCATACGTGGATAGCGTTTCAATAGCTTCAGCATTCTGCAAAACCGTAACAGCCACTGACTTGCATGTCGATGGTCTTCCACTCCGAGGTTTTGCTTCCAGAGATCCAGTTTCCTCAAAACTTTATAATCAATCGCTTTAGAGAGTAGCAACTCATTGGTCCTTTACCGCTTCGAATATCTTTAAAGGAACGAAATGCTCGTTAAGCTTCAGTGGCAGATTCTGAATCACAATTTTAAAAATTCACCAAGAGTGCTTTATCCTGTAGTGACGGCATTCCAGGGGGAAGGGGAGAAGTTCGACCACACCTCCTTGCGGTCCCCCCTGGACCCTTGGAATATTTGACCAAATTCTGGTTCGTTTCCAAGATGACTAACGTTGCAACGGCACCCATTTTCAAATGAAGAGCAAAACTGATATCTCCAGTAATGCTACCGCGTCCAGGGTAACCGCCGCGTCAGGAGCTGCAGCTCGAGCTCATGATGAGAAATCTACTACGAGGACACAAATTCAATATACTACAACTCAATATAAATGGTACCCAGAGGAAAATAAAGATCTGACTTGTCTTCTCTGTGACAACAATGTACATATTAATTGTCCTCACAAGACAAAATTGAATCAGAATCTGAGATTCAATATCAAAGATTATACAACACTACGAATGGACAGACCGGGAAAATTCGGAGGAGGACTTGCCGTTTTGATTAAAACTCTAGAAATCAAATTTAAGGAAATCGCCTATAATCAGAGTAAGCCTAGAGAAAGCACGACAGAAGCTCAGGCAATAGAAATCTATCTTACAGATAAAACAATTCCAATCATAATAGTTTATCACCACGATAATACTAGCATTAATACAGGCCTGATAGAGACATTAAGTGAAGCGTCTTCAGATATCGCAATCATACTTGGTGATTTTTACGCCGAAAGACCAACTTGGGGATCACCTGTCCAGGATAACAAAGGTCAGCAGGTTGAGGACATGCTAACCGACCTCGACCTTACGCCGTTAAATAACGAAAAGAACACCTATCTATCCAAGTCCACAGGCACAGAATCCGCAATAGACATCACAGCGATAAATTACAACATCGCACCCACAACACAATGGAAAATTCTGAAAAGTGCAATCAGTGACCACAGACCAATTTTAACAACCCTAAAATTCAAAATTGAGAATTTCCAACAGAATAAAAGAACACTGGAAAATAATTACAGAAAAGCTTGAAGAACTGTGCAACGAAGAATTAAATCACAGAACGATTGACAAAAAATTGGAAAATTTCTCTTTGAACATATCCAAAGCTGCAAAAGTATCGATACCTAGAGGTAGACGTAAAGACCTGTGAATACTTTACTGGAAGGACCACAATATCGAGGCAATGATTGCAGAGAGAGACAATAAAAATGAACTACTTAAAACAAATAAAACAGAAGAAATCATAAAGGAACTCATTGAAATTAGTCACAAAATAGAACAAGAAATTTGAATATTCGAACAAGAAAAATGGGCAGAATTCTGCTAAAAAAATGGATCCAAAAAAGGAAAGCCATCACTGGAATATAATTAGTGTTAGAAAACAATCAAAACCAACACTAATCCTCCAATACTCTAACCGATATGAACAGCGAGAACGAACAAACAGATGGCTGACATAATTGCTGAATATCTTTCAAGCACTTCCAGACTCAGCTATACGAATGAAGACAGGACTCTAAAAAATAATATAAACAAGTTAGTTAAACAAGCAAGATATTACCATCAACAAGATATTTACTCGAGAGACTTCACACTGAATGAGCTAAATTCATCAATAGGAAAGTTAAATCCAAGATGTCACCTGGAGATGCTCTAATCTTTGGTCAAATGATTAAACACTTTGGAGACGAAGCTAAAAATCAACTCCTACGAATACTGCACATTTCATGGCAAATTGGTAAACAACCAAAGAATTGGAAGGTATCAATTATAGTGCCAATACTGAAACCAAACAAAGATGCTAAGGAATGCAAGAACTATCGGCCAATTGCTCTTACCAGCATACTTTGTAAAATAACAGAATGAATTATCCACTCTAGGCTCATAGTCTGGCTCACTAACAATAATAAAATAAACTCTACCAAACTGCCTAAAGATCCAGACACTGTACAACTGATAAACTGTTCGACTTCTGTCAATCAATAATAGATTTCTAGGAAAAACCGCCAAAGAAGACAACGGACGTATTCCTGGATATGACCTCAGCTTTTGATCGAGTGTAGAAATTATTTGAAAGGCTGCACAACATCGGAGTAAGGGGAAAAACCTTAATCTGGATTGGAGACTTTTTAAGGGGAAGAAGGATAAAGGTTCGGGTCAATGGAACATTTTCCAAGGACCGACGATCATGGGCTGGTGTACCTCAGGGATCTGTGCTCAGTCCTCTACTCTTCTCGCTACATATTAACCGTTGTTTATGTAAATAGATGAATATTATTTGTATTATTTAAAGCCTCATTATGTAAAAATATATGTATATATAAATTGGACATTTGTTGTTGGCCATGGTCAAGTTTGAGCTCTTGTACGTCTAATTACGACACAACAAAGTGGCGACGAGGATGCGCGATCTACAGAGCCAGTAAAAAGCTGAGGTAAACGGCGTCTATGCAAGTATAATAACTACATCTTTTAAACAAATCTGACTCTCGGAT